GGGGGGGAAAAAAACTAATTTTATACTTATAGTAAAACATAATCATTATATATGTTTAAATATCAAACAATATTAAGCCCTCTTGACCAATTTGAAATAAGAAACTTATTTAGTATAGATACACCATTATTAGCAAATATGAACCTATCTATAACTAATATAGGGTTATATATGACTATAGCTGCTTTCATAGCTTTCTATTTTAGTATTTTAGCTACTAACCACTCAAAAATTACTCCAAACAAATGATCTTTAAGTCAAGAAACATTATATGCAACTATACACAGTATTGTTGTAAACCAAATTAACAACAAAAATGGGCAAGCTTACTTCCCATTTATGTACACATTATTTATTTTTATTTTAATAAATAACTTAATAGGAATGGTTCGCGAACAATACCTTTATAACAGTATTAATAACAATAATGATTTTAAAATTATAAGCCAGAGGTGTAAAAGAGATAATGGTTTAAACTAAATAGTGTTAGTTTAATCACGAGTAATTGAAAAGTTCCAAATAAAAAAGCCGCCCGGGTGAGGGTTAATTTATATTCTACTCTTTCTGATAATAATCATCTAAATAAAGATAGCTCCTCTCTTGTTATTAATCCTCATTATCTAACGGGATTTATAGACGGTGAAGGTTGTTTTAATATTTCTATCCTTAAAAACAATGAATTATCAACAGGTTGACAAATTATCCCTACATTTCAAATATCTTTACATGCTAAGGATAAAGAGTTGTTAGAGTTAATTCAGAAATCATTAGGTGTAGGTCGTATTTATAAACACGGCCCGGACTCTTTTTATTATCGTATCTTTGGTTTAAATAATTTAAGCGTAATAATAAAACATTTAGACAGTTTTCCTTTACTTACTCAAAAACAAGCGGATTATATTTTTTTTAAGCAGGTTGTTGAATTAATGAATATAGGAGAACATTTAACTCAACCAGGAATTTTGAAAATAATAAATCTAAAGGCTTCTATTAATAGAGGTTTACCGGATAAATTAAAGGAAGAATGATTAAATATTACTCCTGCTAATAGACCTACGGTTTTATCTAGCCCTATAAAGGATAAGCAATGACTAGTAGGTTTTGTAGAGGGAGAAGGGTCTTTCCAAATTGTTACTCAAAAAATAAAAGATAAAATAATAGTATCTTTAAGGTTCACTTTGACTCAACATATTCGTGATAATATATTAATGAAGAGTTTGGTGGAATATTTAGGCTGCGGTAGATATATTACTACAGCTAATCGAAAAGAAGTTTATTTTACTGTTTCTAACAAGAAGGATATAAACAATATTATTATACCTTTATTTCAGAAATATCCCTTATTAGGTTCTAAACAACAAGATTTCTTGGATTTTGTTAAAGTATCCGAATTATTAAAATCTAAAGCTCATCTTACTGAAAAAGGGTTAGAACTGATTAATGCTATTAAAAGTGATAGGGCCATTAGAATAAAAAACCCTTCCAAGAACGAAAAATAGAAAATATCTAAACTTACTCTTACTTATATTAAATTATCTTATTTATAACCATTATCTTATTTATAACCATTATCTTGTTTATAATTATTATGCATTATTCCTATTGCACTCTGTATGGAAAGGTTAAAAGGAGCCTACATATATATATTACCCAAACATTTAGCTTAACTAATTTAAAAAACAAAAGTATCAGACTATATTCTTCAAATAATTCTAAATATCCTAGATATAACCTTAATAACACCTATTATCTTAACCCTTATTATATTACAGGTCTTGTAGATGCAGAGGGTTGTTTTACAACATCTATCTATAAAGATTGTAGAATGAAAACAGGATGACAAGTTAAACCTATATTTCAACTTAATTTACATAAAAAAGATCTAAAAATCTTAGAAGCTTTACAAAAAACATGGGGTGTAGGTAAAATATATAAACATGGTCAAGATTCATTTATGTATCGTGTTAGTTCTTTGAAGAATTTAAGAGTAATAACAACTCATTTCGATAATTATCCTTTAATAACCCAAAAATTAGCAGATTACCTGTTATTTAAACAATCTATTGATTTAATACAGGAAAAGTTACATTTAACTGAAAAAGGTTTACTAACATTAGTTGGTATAAAATCTGTATTAAATTGGGGTTTATCTGAAAAATTTAAAGAAACATTTCCTAATTTGATACCCGTAGTAAGACCAAAGGTTGATATTTCAGAAATAAAAGATGTTTATTGACTAGTTGGGTTTGTTTTGTTTTTTTTGACGTTATTTCTTTCAGAAATAACTAAAAAAAA